AGATTTAGTTCATCCTATTTTCCAAGGATCGAGCTTCCAGAGGTGGCCAAGGACTCCGCTGGAAGCTCGAGACTAGGACCGGGGGGTCTATTCCGCTCGAACACTGGTGAGACGGACGAAGGGGATATCGATACTCGTCCAGCTAAGCAGGCTTAAACTTCATTCTCGACTCATTCTCGGGATTGCTGGGAGCTTTACTCTGCGGCGCTAAGTGTTCAATGCCAAACTTTGAGTAGAGAGATCACCATGGAAAACGGACTCAGCCTATTCCGCGCGTCAGTGCCCATTCCACCGGCATCATCACGCGGTCGACAGACTTGTTTCCTTGCGGAAGCCTTTCCAGCTCGGCATCGATTCCGTAGCGGAAAAATATAAAGGAGGGGAAACGAAGACACCCGCTCGAAAATGATTTCATATCGGTGATGTTTCCCACCGGAAAGCAACAAGACGGAGCTCGATGTCTATTGACAGAAATAAGAGCACGCATGATGATGGAGCGCCTTCAAAAGCACGTTTGATACGTGCGATACTTTGTCTTTTGTTCCGTCCGTAGACAGAGAGAGAAGGCGGCGTCGAGGGCGAGAAACGATGAGCTGGGAGACGGAGAAAAGCGTATCGCTATTCTCTTAGCGTCAAAATGACGATCGAGATCGATATTGTGTTGTTCCTCGATGACGACGCTTGTTCTTGACGAACGGAATCGAAGGGGAGAAGATGAAGCCGTTTGTATTCGTTCCTCGGAGGACCTCGGTCGTAGTACCTATCGGCCGGAATGGCCGGCTATGGAATCTGCACCTAGTCGCACCTCAGTCTGTGTTCGAGACAAGGGAGCAAGACGTGTGGGTAACCATTGATGCGGAAGCTCTGCTCTTCGACCCTGGGAGTAATGAGGCAGTCCAGCGCGCGCACCGAGAGGGGTTAATTGAATATGGACACGCTACTGTTCGAGAATACAAGTGAAAACGGAATCATACCGAATTTTCCCCTCAGATCCCCACAGACTCGAATACATTCGGATCAGAGTCGACTGGAGCGGGAACCGCCTGCCCTCGCTACGCCGTAAGGGATCAGATGCTGGTTCTCCTTCCGCGTGATTCCTCATCTACACCCAAGGTGCATGAACTGGTTCCCATCATCCCTTCTTCGAAGAGAAATTATTCGAATCTGATTTTCCGTAGAATACCTGGCATGATGGGAATCTCTTTCGGATTCACTCGCAGTGTGAGTCGTGTCGCAAAAGGGACCTCTCGAGGTTGACTCGGAGGACTTCGACATACTTCGAATTACAATATGTAGAAGATGCTCCGCTATCGGCGAGGAGGCGTCATCCGATCTACTAACTAAGCTCAGTCTCCGATTCCGAGGCTCTTCCTCGGTGTCATAGCGCGATAGGTTCGTACTTTGCTCGGAGCGAAGCATCTGCGAATCTGCGAGGAGACCTAATGCTCCTGAGCAGAGTTTTTGCGCAGGAATCCGAAATACCGTCCCTCTCCCTAATGTTCATCCTTGGCGGGATGTCATGTACCGTAAGTCCAGACGCTCTCCTAAGACTTCCGAGTCCGAGGACGTTCCTTCGCGCTCGTGCCTTGGACACGGCGAGCATCTTCGTGATTCTCCACGTTCCCGAAATTCCGAACCTTTGGATACGGGATGTCTTTTTCGGAGGCAGACGTCAAGTCAATCTCTGAATGCGTACACTTTCAGAAGAATACCGGATTCCCGAACGTTTTTGAGCTATGCTCGGAAAGCTGTTCGGGGAAACTGTTCCTCGCAAATCGGTTCATCTGAGTGAGTGCTTATAAAAATCATGTTGGAGAAAGATAGGATCGCAGAGCTCCTCACCAGCTGTCCGAGGATTTTTCTCCCGCAGACAGACACGTCCGAGGTTCTGCAGTCACATCAGTACTCTACATCTCCCCGAGAAAAAACGAACGATTAGGCGACGGCGGTGCGAATATTCAACATCCCGGATGGTCCGAAACCATTGCTCTCGGAACAATCAAGCGCTGTCCAGGTCGTAGCGGAATGAGATGGTTCATCGAGCGATCTGTGAGAACACCTGCACCAGGATTCCTCATCCAACACACGGGACGCACTTTATCTGAGCGGGCGGAACCGTCAGTGTGAATGAGGGCGGGCTCGGCTCCCGACACGGAAGCACGAAGAGACGAGTTCCACAGCTGAGTTGCGGATTTTCAGCCTTGGACAACAGCAAAGTTTCTTTGCGCTCAACTAGAGGAAGCAGATTACGCATCGCGTGACTGGATTGTACGGTAGAAAAAAGAACTACGCAGCTGTCGTTACTTTTCATGTGGTCGGTAGTAACGTGTAACTGACGGACGCACGTCTTGGCTTCCGCTGACCAGAGAAAGAGATAGGGCACCGTGGGCTATATTGCATCGCGGCCGACGGCTGGCTGCGGTCGGTTGGCTGACGAGCTGTCCTTTTGGTGTCACGGTTGATTTCTTCTCGGGTAAATATGACTTGCAACGTTCGCGCGTGTAGCATGAAAACTTCGCCGTTCGTTACTTAATCTCCAGCCGAACAGAGTCCTCGCACATGCTGCATGATATTAACTAGAGAAACCTTAATATTGGCTTCCTGGACTGTTGCCTCGAGACTTTTGCGGTGACTTATGGCCTCGCCACTCGCCTGCTCCCTCTCGGCTTTTGCCCGCCTGTTCGTGAATTTCCATATTGCTGCAGTAGACGATTGTATTGCGGCGTATTCATCTTTCGAAAGCGGGGCCGGAGGAAATTTCAGAGTTTCGGAACTGAAATTACCTCTGCCCGACGAACGTAGTCTACGTCGCAAAAAGCTTCCACTGTTGCTCAAAGATCAGATTTACGAAATTCGCGGGAATTCGTGCCGAGTCCTCTTTGCCTCCTCTTCGGCGAGACTTGCTCCGAGAACAGAACGTCTCGCGGCTCTGAACATCAGATACATCCCGCAGCTCCGTGTAACGATTGCGAGCAGAAGAGGCTTATTAGAGCAGATATCCAACGGCGCGGGGTACACTTATGCTGGCTACGCGACGCAGATCCAGGGGCTGAGCCTGCACGTAAGCGCGTGCCTCTCTCTCCCGCACGAGCTTTTCACACCGCACTTCAACATCGCGTGAGGTTCCACAATTAGTAGGTCGAGATGTTCCTCTGATTTTGGCGGGGGCATTGTAAAACAGAATTTCGATCAATTTAGTCGGTAGGAAGAAGCGCTCCGTCGAGGCCGGCCATGATGTTGGTAGTTTTCTCCGGTTCGCTTTCTCCCTCGGTCTTCCCGTCCGGGCCCCAGTTCACAAGTTTTCCCTTCGGTTACCTCATGCGAGCCGGGTTTTTTCTGAGCTGAAGGATGCAATTTTCTTCAAAGTAGCGTGAACACAAACCCGCTGCCTCGCCGAGGGTTTTGGTTAGTCTATTTTCGGAAATTGAGTTGGTCCTCACGACCGACGAAGCGAGTCTTGCGAAGCAGGGCGCGCTTCTCACTTAGAGCTTGGGGACGTCGCCATAGCTGTGAGGTAAAGCGTTTCGGAGATTTGTTACCGTCATTGTTGGCGTCGAGCCCGCGACGGCGCGCCGTTCTCCCTGCGGTTCAGTGTAGCCACCGTGCGATATTGCATGAGCCCGCGCTAAATTGAAATATCGCAATAGTTCATCGCGACTCGGGAGTCGGGAGAGATGCGTGGATTGGCTCAGGCGGCGAATCGATGACCGAAGGGGAACTACGAGCGACGAACCAAAGGAGGTGACATGGGCCCTGTTGGGCTCGTTTCAGTCTGCTCGAGCCTTCCGAATAATTAAGCAGCAAGCTCCCTTCACACCGTCATATTTTACGCGGATTCACTTTTGACGCTCATTACCTGCTTCGGGACATTTCGCCGCCAGACCGGTCACTCCACTGGAACTATGCGAATACCTGGGACTATTCCTCCGGCCGCGAGCGCTCTCGATTCCCGAGTGTTCCCTTCTCTTCCCAAGTCTCAGTGGAATCGATCGCAAAAAGGTAATCGTAAGATGCTCCTCGCTAGTTGCGCCACTACGCCTAACATGTCTGATAATGAGTAAATGACTGATTGGGAGTTGATTGCTGAACGAGCGGGTCAAAACTTTTATTTGAATCGCATTCTCCTGTCGCAATCGGAATCTCAACAGATGATTTGTCGGACTGTAATTACCGGGCCAAAATAGACGCAATCGATACGGTGTTAGCATTGACATTGGCCATCGTATCGAATAAACTCCGCTTGGCCAGTGCTCTCCTCAGGCCGGGGCGCTGGTAGATATTTATCTGGGAGCGCTGCGCCGGAGGGAAAATAATGGAGAAAGTGTTACAAGCGAGAATTCTTCATCTTATCGATTGCATCCAGTGCACTAATTATGAATTCGCTACCGACACAATCACGAAGCTTTCATCTCAAACTCGGGGCGTCGTCTTCCGAGCAATCGTGCGTTCAAAACTCGTGGAGTAAGCTACGTGCGTATGTCCAGGCTTACTTATGGCTCATGGGGAACCCTCCCCATGGACAACCATACAAGTTCCGGGAGAAAATGACGGGGCTTTCTTGATGAGCTTTGTCGACAGCTCGGGAATTGCCGGCGATTGGTGCCGGTGAGACCGCTCTTGTTAGAGCGGCTGCTTGCGTCTCAACGTGGAGCCTCGCGTTCTCAATAGAATATCCTGTCGAATTCGGAGCTCTTCACATAGAAGAGTCCGAGTTCGCGAGACTTGCGGTGTAGAATGTTCCCCTCACCCGAATTTTCCAATGCGGGGAATTTCCCATACGGGAAAATCCCTTCATCAGATAATTGCCATCCGCTATCTTTCGTGAATGGAACGTTCCCAGAAATTCGCACGAGTTCCGCATTGGACATTTTTTTAGGACACCCGTCAGTTCGACACGATGATGAAAGATAGATGAGCTCGTCTCATGGATTTACCTACTTAATCTATCGGAGGCCGAGGAGAACTTCCCCACGATTTTCTGAAGTAGAAAAAGTTTGAACTCACAGTAAGTGTCGTTCACGAGCTCCTTGATGACCTCCTTTTTGAGTTTAGAGTTCTTCTTGCCCATCTTGCCTCGGCACCAGCCGCACCAAACTCGAACGAACTTAGCCAAGTTTACACCTGACGTGCTGCCGAACAGGGGAAAAATCCGAACGCGTTTGGAATACGCGGATTTTGCGTCGATCTGACTCCGCGACCTATGCGCAGTCTAAAGATCGCGAACGATGATACGTAGTCCGCTCCTGGAACTCGTGTATACTCCAACTGGTGCCGCCACTACCGCCGAAGCCAGTCGTCAGCACTTCGATTCGCTCTACGGCTGTGTGCAAAGCGCGCTAACTCTTCGAGGGCCGCTCTTGGAGAACTTCCTCAGTGTCTTATAGGCCCGTTGGATAGGGGGCGCTCGGGACCACGTGTTGGGCGAGGGCTCCCTTCGACGGAGGAGAGCGCTTGCTTTCGGGAAACAGGTGGATAACAAGTTTCAACAATGGAGATTGTTCAGATCGCGAATTTCCCTGAAAAGAGTGTTCCTTTGACGCCCTGCTGATACATCGAGGGTCCTCATCTTGCATTATCAATTTTTGGTGCCGCGAATCCTTCCTTGTCTAGCGCATGCTCCTGTTCTAGGGCAAATATGCGCGGATTTGCAACGGGGCATTCCGCTCCGCGATCGCGATGAGCAAAAGTGAACCGAATATTATCTCTACTAGTGGTGCACCCCAATCTGCAACTCTTATGCCCCTGCAAACCTGTCCTGGGCGCCGCGCAACAATTCGTGGATCATTCTTCAACCTGATGACGGAAGTTCGGATGCGATCTGACTGAGCGGTTGCGCTACCTCTTCTAGGGAAGATTCGTCGGTTCATCCAGATCGGAGTTTGTGGTGCCTTCTACTATTGTGGTACTTATAGAGAGAATACGGTAGTCCACGATCTATACAAGCGAACTTCCCCGGGGATAAAAACGGATACTCCCGAAAATGAATATCTAATAATCCATTCCATCCTACGTTGTGCTTATCGGATGATGCAGCCGTCGAGGGGGACGCGCCGGGAGGAATGTCGAAGGAAAAAACGGGAATGACTAGACAGGGACCCTTATTGAGGAAATGCGGCCTAAAGGAGCGATTCGCCCTCGGTTCAGTGTGAGGACTAAGTATGTGAATCTGATGGTCCGCGGAGGACCATCTACATCTTCTCGGGCCGTGTACGTTCCTGAATTCAGTTCCTTTTGCTTGTCACAATTTATTTTGAAAACGTCCCCTTCCCCCCAAGAGGGGAGACGCAAATGAACTCGAGTTCCGGGGCAAGTTCGAAGACGATTCGGGGAGCGGGCGAGCTTTTCTGAGCAGATCGAAAACGGTCAGCGAATCGGGTTCGCCTGGATCTTACAGGAATCCTTTTGAATGCTGAATTCATCATTCAGCCTTGGTCCGATATACCCGGGAGAAGCAGGCCCGCCTTTGGGAGGGGAAGAATTGTGCACATTCGGAATTTCGATTTGATTGTTTTTATCATGCGGAAAATGCTTGACGGTCCTCGATTTGGGACTTTTCTGGTTCCCTCTTCCCAATTTTCTTAGGAATCATGCTCCGAATATGAATTCAGATGAGGATGACAGCCTCAGAAATCTCCCCGAATGGAATGGCTCTAGCAAAAACCGCTCCGCAGGAACTCCCGGGTCGGGCCTCGTTCGTGGCAGAGCTCAGTCATTGTTTACTCGGAAACGATAAGTGACCAGTGGAAAAAGGGAGGCTCGCGATCCTTACGCGACAAGTACGCTTTCTTCTGCATGGTCTGCGTAAGATTGACGGAGGCTTGGGTGATATGGCAGGGCAGGGAGCTCCCGACGATGAATATGTAGTTTTATTTTTTGTAGCTAGATCTTCATCTTCGCCCAATGCCCCGTCGACGGCCGAGTCGTTGCATCCTCAAGAATCGAAAAAAGAACACTCACTTACCCTTCTTGCACCCGACCGGCGATGACCGAGATCCCTGTAATTCCCACAGCATCGTTCCCGAATCGTGTCCAACTGCATTCATCGTAGATGCGGATATCAAAACATCTTCATGTAGCTGCCATTCGTTCAAACACGCGGCTTCTCTTATCGAGTCTCCGCTGTGACCTGAAAACTCAGCAGCAAGCTGTGCCCTCCGCATGAGATTTGTCCCCGATTTGAACTCCCGCCCATTCCAACATGTCGCGCAGAGTCTCAGATGCAGTTGACGTTTTCATTCGTCACATTGCAGGAATTGCTCGATTCCCCGAAATTTTTGTTGGACAGAAGGGACACCGGAAGAAAGAGCTCTGTCGTTGAAGGCGGACCCGCGTGAAATTACTTCCAGATCGAAAAAAAAGGGGAGCAACCCTTGCTGGTGATGTTGACCGAGATCTTCACGAAACTCGAAACAGCCGCGGGGAAGCGGGAGAGCGCATTCGGAAAATGATTCGGATGGAGGAATAATAAAATTCGCCGGCGTCCGAGCTATCAAGATTCCAATCACAAAAGTTGGCGGGCTTCGACGACGAGGAAGGCCAGCGCGAAGGTGTTGCTCCCGCACAAATATCCCTTTTCCCTCCATCACGCGCTCGCTCCCAGGCTACCTTTAACTGCAATAGCTGGCTGAGGAAAAGGTCGGTGTAAGGAAGCTGGGCAGGCAGGCAGGCAGGCAGGCAGGCAGGCAGGCGGGCGGGCAGGCTGGCTGGCTGGCTGGCTGGCTGGCTGGCGACGGAAAGTGAAGGCGGAGAAATAACACGGAGAAGGTTATTCTCCGTCCCAGAAGGTGTGTGACTTCGAGTCCGAGTTTGATCGAATGCCACGCATCGGCTACCGCGAACACTTGCTGCTAGTCCGAGCGTTATTAATCTCCCTCGTTCTCTTCCCGTTCCGCCCGTTCGGTCGATCAGCGACTTGTTCGGTCTATACCTCCGCGTAAACTTCGGCGAATTTCTATCGGGAGATTCTCGCAGACTTTTGTCGGGGATCCGCGTGTATGAGGACGAGAAACTCAGCGCGGCAGGGTCCAAAGACCGATCGGCCCGGGGATAAGCTCAAGTATAAATGGATAAATACTCCCACCGAGAGAGCTTCGAGAGGAAAGACGGAACTTTAAGCTTCATTGCTCTTGATTTTTTCGCCTCGAGATTTACTCGCGGTCGTTCGGACTTCCGGGACCGTTCTCGACGCGATCTCAAAGAGCTCCACTGAATGACCCTGATGGATTCCTTGAGCGTCGATCGACGTGTTTTCTCTCGCGCTCCAATCAACTCAACCGAGTCGTTCATGTGACCCAATGTCAAGCGGTGTTGTGCCTTCGCTGTGACTCCAAGAAAAAGTATCGTGCAACATTTTGTGAAGCGTTGAATTCACGCCCCGCCTTCGCCTGCATTATTCATTTTGGTCACATCTGCGACGCATTGGAAATTCATCTGGATATGATGAAGCGTTCCTGGCTCCGACGTCTGCGGAGTTTGCTATGAATTTGTAAAGAATCGGAGGCCGTCCGTCATCTCGGTCAGTGTTGACAGGGCGATGGGCAGTGCATAAATGATTTCGCAGCCACTTCAATTTCACGCCGATCGAGCTCGACCTTAGCTTAGCTCGTCCTGGACGAGTAGCATCTGAATCGAGTCTCTCGGAACAATCTCGTCGGTCTCGGCACCGGAAAAAGCGAGGGACTCACGTCCTCCTTCCGGAATCGGTCCGAGAGGAGGCGTCACCATTTGAACTGCTCGAGTTGGTTGGCGGAAGGGGAACGGTGCTCTCGCACCGTTGAACGAAGCCAGTTTATGAACGTATCTGCGCGGAAACGGAGCAGGATGCCCCCACTCAACTCGACTCAGCACCAGACGACCGAGAGAGGAACTGAAAACTTCGATTGCGTGTTAGCATAACGGTTCGAGCGAGGTGCATGCTCAACAGTCGAGATTACACCGTGAGGACAGGTTTCGCGCGGGCAAATGCAGATCGATCTGCGCGCAGGCCGCTCGGTATGCGGGTTGGCTGGCTGTTCGTAGTTGGGATTGGATTTTGGAGGCTGGGAGGAGGACATGGATACGCCCACGCTCATCTTCGCGTGAAGCTGCTATCTACCTTTCCTCTGTGGTCCTTGTTTTTCCTCCAGCTCCTTCCCTAGATCCGGATTTCCGACTGAGGATTGCATTAATTCATGCACAGACCCATCGTTGATCAGAAGCCACCGCGAGCGGTGTTCGGAAGCCGAGTTTGCCGAGCGGCCATCGTTTGACCGCCATGAATAGGTCCCGGAACGGAGGCTGTCGATTCGATCAATTACGAGTTTCCAATCAGTTTTCCTTTTATAGATGACGTGTAGCTCGCTCAGACCTGTGCATTCTGGATTCGGCAGAATCTTCCTCCAATCTATTCCCTGCAGCGAGTAGCGCTTCTTCCGCCTTCGATAATAATCTGCCCCAACTGACATGGGAGGTGAACGTTTCGCTGTCCGGATGTCTATTCTGGGCTGGAGCTGTCACTCTGTAGAGCATCGCAAGCAAAGAAACAAACGGCTCGCCTGCCGTCCTGCAAAAATCTAGTTCCGACGCCCACGCAAGAGGTTTTTGGCCTCGGGAGTGTCGAGGAGGTGAAAACCCGTCCAGCCGATTTCGATCAAAGGACGAGCACCTAGGTCTCTGGCCCAATCTACAGGACTGCGCAGGTTATGGACGGGAGTCCTGACCTCCTGTCTAGCGCTGGTAGCCTTCTCACCAGAGTTGCGGGTCCCCCCTGGAATCGGGAACGGGAATCCCGCGATCCGGACTCCGAGAGTAGATTGACCGCGGGCGATCCGCTCGACGACCGGCACCGCTTTCGATCGGAAGCCATTGCGGGTCCGATTTTGATTACACCGGGAAGTCTTTCGGGAATGCTATGCCGCAGCTCAGATTCTTGATGCATGCGAGAGGGAAAGGAAACTGGGTAAGTTGGCGAAAAAAACATCGTAGAGCTCGGAGTTCTTGTCCGGTTCAGAGTCCCGCATTGGTGGCGTGCCAAGAAACTCCGGGTCGTGCTCGCGAAGTCGCAGCCGATTGCAGGCGCAAAGCAAGCAACATCAATCTATGCCATGCTCGAGAAGTCGTCTAGTGTTCCTCTGACATCTGCATAAGAAACGACCAGCAACATTGACAGTGCCGTTCCGCTGCAGAATAAGCGCAACGCTGATCTACAGGTGGTTGTTCGCGGATGCAAGCTCGGAATTCAAGACATCTCCGACGCGATATGACGCGAGAATCTCAAACTTTGACGCAGTCGACCGCTCCGGGATATTGAGGCACAATTTCCGTCACGCTTACCCATGCTGGATCCCGGAGACTGACGCGTGAACATGGAAGTGAAGTGGAGTCGCGAAGATTTTGTGAGATGATCGAGATGCTCGCAATATTCGAGTCATCTTCCTCACATTCCAAAGAAGGAGGGAGGGAATCTCTGCCCCTCCCGTCTTCTCTGAGACGAAGCATATGCATATTCATGATTGGGAGTCGCTCCATGGCACTTCCGTCAGAATTCGGATGAGAGAATGTCTCTACGCAACCAAATTTGCGGTATCCGCCGCCGAGTGTGCCTCAGTGCACGACGCGTAGCGGCAGTCTGTCCGGCTGGGGTTGAAGAGACTTCTGGAAAAGGCCACGGGGAACAAAGTCCGACCTCGACTTGGGATGTCTATTCGACCGATGTTTCGAATGAATTCCGAACCGGGCGTGCTCTTGGGTGACCCACGTGCCGATCGGCTTAGTTCCATGACGCAGCTCATACTCCGCGGAAAGCGGCTGCACCAAAATTAAAAATATAGAATATCTTGAAATCATGCCCCGATTTATTGATTGATTGTTGGATTGTTCGGGACCCAAGCTACAATCTACTGATGGATCGCGTTGGTGGATTCGGCGCCATCGGACCATTTCATTCGATCAGCTTTCCCGAAATCGACGAGCAGTGTTGTTCAATTCCAGTGGGGAAGAGATTGAATTCCGCGAGCGGACCCGGTATTGGTGCGGCCGATTCCCCGGGAGCTCTGGCGGAGTCTCGATGCTCCAGGAAACAAATCTGAAAGAGCTGTTTCGCTGTGAGTTCCCGCGAGATATGCTGAGCTTTATAGCCTCGGACCAACGGGATGAGCACATAAGATGATAGTCGTTGTGCGGAGATTGAACTTTCGAGTATGAATGATGCCTTCCAGGGAATCGATATCGAAGTTGAACGTCAACCTCGAGGGGAACGGCGGGGAACACGCAGTCGCCCTCGACGCAATCCAAGTCGAGTCTCCTGCGCGATGATGACGTAGAGTGAACGCATCCTAATGCTGCGGCGGATTGAGTGAGACCGAATAAAACTTTTGCTACTTTACTTTCCCGACGACGATGCATGACCTCGGAGCCAATCGCGAGCCGAACCAGACTCAATCTATGTGGGAACGGAAGCAGGAAGGAAGAGCTGACGTGAGGCACTTGGATTCTGCCGAACACTTGGGCCTTCATGGGACTGAAAATCTCCTTCTGTTCGGTGCTCCTCCGATTCTCGAATAAATCCTCCGACTCAATCCAGGCTCTCAAATTTCCACTGACGTCCGAGCTGGCTCTACACATGGGCGAAATTTCCGGCCAAAAGAGTGACGATAGACGGTATCTATGTGCGTTGCGTGATGCATAATTCAGGAGTCGATTGTTCGGGTAACCAGAAACGATGGTGCCACGTAGCCCCTAAATCTCAGAGTCAGTGTCCAACGAAAGAGGAACCGCCGAACGTATATATCTCGTGTTTTATCCACAGGAAAATATGTATGAGGAGGAGCCAGAAAACGATGCATGAAGCATGCAGCCCATCTCTGGGGCTCCGTAGCCGTGCTCTTTCTCCAATTCATGGAGGGCAAAAGATTTACGACCACAAACTCCTCGAAATCAATGTCCTGCCGACGACCTTGGCTTGTCTCGATTCCGTTGCTGAGGAATTATTTTGTGGCTGTCCTCGTCGTCGACGTCGATCGATGCCGTTTTCGTATTCAAAGAGGAACTCAGCGCAGAGGCATCGATGGTGAAGTATCCAAGTTGCTCGGATGAAGTCTTTGGACAAGAGACGCGGCTGCCGAGTCCCGTTACTCTTGTCAGTTTTTGGATGTATATAGGTTGTCGATATCTAGATTCGACGCTTGTGTATTCGTTACCATGTAAATGGCTGCTCGATCCTTTGGGAAACGATAGCGGAGAACGCGGGCCCCGATTCGGGAGAACTCCTGTCCACGCTCAGGAGGATACATAGCTTCGATGATATCGCATTTTTCTCACCTTACGTCTTGTGTTCTTGACAATGTAATCTTGAAAGACGTAGGAACGCGCAAAAATCCTTCGAGTGGGTACTCCCCGAAACAGCGAGATTCAGATGAAAGGAAGAGGAGACTTCTCCTTCCAGAGTTCTACCCATAAGCCTCACCTTCAAAACGAGAAGATCGGATGACCCCAACTCAGAATCACCCGACGTACGGGAAAGATCTCGGGACCCGCTCATCAGGGGAACTCGAGACCTCCTCGTAAGGAACAATATCAAGCGAGGCCTTCCGAACTCATGATTCTAAATTCACGAGGTCGGGAAACGGAGTGTGGGAATAGTCGCGAAATGCGAGGGCACCGGATAGCTTGTACGGCAGCCGTATATGGGGAATTAGGGCGGAGCCGCAATTATACTTCTACCGAACTCATCGACTAGGGCTCTCTCGCGCTGTGACGACATCCATGCGTCGGAACTCTGATGTTGGCAGGTCTACGAATCTGCAGCTCTCGCAGATTGTAAAGAGTTGAGCAACTTCTGCACGGCGAAGTTCAGCGTCTTTGATTTGCGGACCTGCTCGGTTGCCGAGCGACGCCGAGTCTTTCCGCATCATTGGCTCGCGCGTACATGGAGAATATTCCTTTACGTCGGTGGTCCCCACCATGCGGATCCCCGTTGCCTCCCAACTCCAGGAGGAATATAAAGCCACGGCTCCCTTCTCGATGTGAGCAGGAGAAAAGAAAAATCTGCTCCTGAAACTGATCTTTAGTGGGCTCCAATTCATGCCTTATTCCTGTAAGGCTCCGCACTCGGATTCCGCCTTTTGAGTAATTCAATGGAGTATTTGGGATCACCATACTCAAGAATCCTCGAGAAATCGAGTCTCCGCACCGATCCTGGTAGCGAAAATCCTTAATTTTCCAAAGGTATTCAATGGCCTCGATAATTTTGCACACCTCGAACGCTCCCTACTGAGTTGCTGTTGGGGGGAGCCTGAATTATTCAACTCCCTGGAACTGCCGAGACTCAGCCAGCCGCGGCGAGCTCCCTCACCGTCGGAGTTTCCTTCACTCAGCAGAATTCTATAATACTGTATATATGTATTCTCATAGAATGGCACGGTCCAATTACCCGCATTCTAATAGAAGGGCACCAATACGAGAGTTTGAAGAATGGAGCGGCATGCAACAATAGTCCGGCATGCTCCGGTGATACGGCAAGGTGATTTAAATTATACGAAGAAGTGAAGATACCAGGAGCACATCGACGGTTCATCGACGCTTGAGGGCATAAATCGTTTGATTACACTCCTCTTCTGAAAAACACGGGAATGCTCCATCGGAGAGGCATGCCGGTCGAGTAGAGAATGCCCATTCGAGGAGGGATCGAAAAATGAGCGGTATGCTCCGAGAGACCAATGCCCGATGAGGGAATCGAGAAACAGAACGGCAAGCCGTTTCATCAGAATAAATACAGTGCAACTGCGCAGGTGACGTGCGGTAGTCGAAGACCCGCCTGCTAGGCAGGAGACGAGCTCATATTCTTGGAAGACCTGATGGAGTAGACGTATTTCGTTATGGCAGCGGATTCCTCAATTATGCAGGCTTAAAAAATTGGCCAGCTCATTCTCGTATCATATCCCGAAGAGCCGTGGAATCTGGCATCAGTCAATGGTAAAAATCGGAGATTTAAATCCAGATGGGACTGCCCCTTGCCTCTCGAAACTCGTCGCCATCCCCGACGAGATCGCGCTTGACGTAAGCGAGGGAAAACAGGTGATTCTTTGGCTCGTGTTTCCCTCGGGCCGCCCGTCATCTGTGAATTGCCACAGGATTCTCTCCGGGTCAACCAGACTAAGCAAGAAAATCGGACCGATGGTTTGGAATTGGCGCCAGAATATGAATGAGGTCGTCTGCTAATCTCTTGTTGTGTGCGCTGCAGCCGGTCTCATCTCACGCCATGTGTTGTTGTTTTTTTTCCGGCACGATGTGGAAAATCCTCTGAGAATATGGTGCTCTAGAGCTCTCGCACGAGTAAATCTCTTCCTTCAGTCTACTCCCTCACACATGGATAATGTCCCGGAAAATCTCCTCCTAATTGACCTGTGCTCCGTCCGGATGCGATAAACCGATAGAAGAAGCCGTCAACGCATCCGTCTCTTGCGAGTTCCGACGTAAGTACGCAAAATGAGTTTTCCACGGTCTCCTGCAGAGTCCGCAGGCATGCACGGGTCCCATCCAGTGTTCAACCGCTTCTGGCGTCATTACGACGCTTCGATGGAATGGCTGAGACTCCATTTAGCCGTCATGAACGAAGTCAGCGCAGATTACGAGGCCGCGGATCACGGCTCGCGCGGTGCTCCCAAACGTAGGAAGTTCCCGTGCGACGATCACCAGGCACGGGCAACCATGAGAGGATACCCTGAGTTCGATGATGATGTCGAAACTGAACAGAAGCCAACCGAAGATCGGGAAGAAGACCCCGCGATAAGTGAAGAGGTCCTGAACTTTTTCGAAGCCTCCCGGAAACACCGCGAAGCCCGGGACAGAGAGGTCTCCGAACGAAAATACGAGAACTTGGAGAACCTTATGTTGACGTCGAGAGAATCCGCTATAAATGTCGGTGCAGACACTAGCGAGGTTTTTGAGAGGAGGCTCAAACACCTCAGAGAGCTTTATGGGTCGGAGTGGACGAAGATTCACGGGATGGAAATGGCTCTCCAGAGTGGCTTTGACAGATTTACGAGTCACAGCGACGTACGGCTCTGGCCCAACATACCGATAAAGATTAGACTGAATTATTGAGGTTCGCTGTTCTGCGAAAACTCAAACCACTCGTGACCATTAAAAGAATTTTCCCCTCGATTCCGTGTTTTCCCTCTCCTGTTTCCCGGAGCATCAGAAGAACATGTATTCACCCGTCGTAGCGCACGATGATCTTTCGAATTATTCGTGAGAGAATTCCTGTGCATTGGCTCTCCCGATCCACTCGGAATGAGGTTCGCATCCGAGAAACCCGCTGTGATCCGAATGAGCCTGACCGCTATATTACTGGATTCTTGAGTTTATTTACAAGCTGCCATTTGTACAACATCATCACCGAGAGTGATGTTGGTGTGAGAATCACTTTCTACAGCGAACCCGTATCGTGAGAGCCTCTGGACTCGTCTTTACCGAAAATGATGTCGTTCGTAACCTCCGATACTAGCGAGGAGATCATATTCTCGAAAAAAGAGAAAGTTCCACCGATCTCCGAATCGGAATCCTTCACTGCTTTCAGGAGGCATTCCGGCAGTTTGATTCCGAGCTTTTCTGTGAATATTGTCGCGAAAATTTCCGTGATGGCACCTCCCGTCCGTCCGACACACTGGCAGCTCTCCTCGGCGAGGGGGATGAGGACCTGTGGAGTTTCGTAGACATTATCCCCTCTACTCCGTCAGACCGAGCTGGATATCCCTCTGAGAGATCCATTCAGAACAGTCACTTACCACCAATTGATTCACGTCCAGAGAAAGAGATCTGAATGGTGGCAGGTTCTTCAGGCATTCCTCGATGGACGCTGCGGAACGAAAAAGTCAGCATGAAATGACACGTGGACAGGAAGCCCGGATGGCGCAACGTTAATTACGGGACCTTTGAATCGTCGGAGCCTAAATGGAGGCTGCGGAATTCTCGTGAACGGAGGCGAGCTCAGGAATTCCTACATGCATTTCCTTCTAATTTGTACCCTCTCCATCTCTCCCTCTAGTCTCATTGGTCCCTTTCCGACCCCCCAACGACCTGACCAAGGGTCAAACCGAGAGAAATGTTCCCGAACCAAGCGCGAGGCCAGCGGGAAGAGTGCTTTTCTCTCTGTTCCTCCATCAGGACCCGATGTGCCGGCCAAAGCTCCTAAAATTCGAAACTGCCGTGTTTCGCATCATTGAGGAAATCTCGTGGCTTGACCCTCCTGCCTTGAATACCTTTGTCGGAGATGGCGTCTTTCGCCGGTACGAGGCCTTTCACTGAGCGAGACTCATGGTTCGAGATTCACGAAGTGAAAGCGCCATTCACGAACGAAGGGATTGTCGAATAACGGATCGCCAGCAATCTTAATCAGTCATGCATATCTCGATTCTCCCGGCAAACTCATCAGCTCACGAGGAGAAAGACTCTCTCGCGCAAGAATGGAACGTCATTCGTCGACTTGACGGTTATATCGCGAGGATCCATTATTAGTGTCAAACTGACTCAATGCGGCTTGCCACATTCCGTTCTTTGATTGACGAGTCGGCCGATCGATCGGAAACAACGTCTTCATGCTATGTAGAAACATGAAGTCTCGACAAATTCTGCGATCACGACTCTCCCATTCCACAATCCCCCTTGAAAGGGCGGTATATCGAGGTGCGCGAACGCTGACGTTATTCTGTGGTGACCTTCCATTTCATTCGGCCGACTTTCAGGGACCGGATCTTCGACGCTAAAGCCGTTGGAATTTGAGCTCTCCGCTTCCGCGGGAATTCCTTCGGACCATATTGCGGGACGAGGTTCCGACACGGATTGCAAACGTTCAGCGGGGAGCCTCTGCTTATTTCAGCTTGCTCAAGCGCCGAACAGATCATCGGATCGTGCATGGTATCCTCTGTACTCTATATCGTATGATCACTACACAGGCTCTCCGATTCTGAAAATAAGAAAAATGAAGATGGCACTCGAGAAAATATCGGAGCGCGAAATGGGGTAAGGAATTCCATGCGTCTGAAAGCCGCACGAGGATTACGGAATTTCGGAAAATGAGCCCGTTGCCTCCTTGTGGAAATTAGCTCAACGCATTTATCACCGACTCGAATGACATCATTCAGGCCATTCTACAGATAAGTATTTCTGTCGTCCGGTCGGTGAATCTGATTCCGATATCGATGCTCGTTCATTGTCAACCCGCGGCGAATAATTGGGACAAAGTTGAATTGCCGATAGCCAACCGGCTGCGAGTCACTGTGCTTTGATTCTGTCAAACAAACGACGCTAGCTCCCCTGAAAAATCGGTAGATGAGCAAGCGAGCGCACGGACGAACAGACAAACTGACTGCCAGGCGGCGGACTCATGGAGTCAGCCGTGAGAGCTCTCTGCGATGGTAGAAGACATGGTCATACCTACGATTGGTCCTATCGGCTATTTGTCTGTAACTCTTTGTCGGGGTCATTGGACGATGCAAATCAGTTGATTGTTTGTGATCACCGTTGAGGAAAGAAGGAAGTCGAGAGGAAGAAAACACCGCTCAGCGGATCTGGTCACGGAATCTCGGCATTGCCGCTCCATGATCGATTCTCGAATCGGGACCGAATACAACTCCGTATCCGTCAGCTCTGGTTTTCAACTTTCCAAGCCACTATGCCAAGTTGGCATTGAAAGTCGAGGAGTTCTGCTTCCTCCCATCCCTCTCCTCTCCGGACCCTGAGGCCTGGAGCTCGTGAGGAAGATCAGTGGGATACATTTAGTCTCAGGGATGGGAGCTCCGCCGCCAAAACATCCCCCGCAGCCGCGCCTAGGAATTCTAGATTGACCCTCGCGGAATCAGCTGAGAATATTTCGACGACGTTCGAAATTCTGTGGATGGTGGGAGTTCGGCTTCGCGTGTGTCTTGTGCAGACGTCAAAGGTCGGCTTCATCGTATACCACGGTATTTCTGTTCCCAGCAAGCGCAGGATGCGGGCCCTTCTCAAACGATGACTCCACATGAGAGTAGACAATGCTCGTAGGTAAGGTGCCTCGCGTGAGTGGAGCACTCAAAGATAGCGCGCTAATAACAAGATGAAGGACACCGTTAACTTCCGCTTTATTTTTGCGCTCCGGTACGCAACTTCAATCGCACTTCGATTTGTGCTATCTTCTGGGGGACGCTTTCAGACGTCCAGTGGAAAAACAGAGGAAAATGAATAGACACACTTACGCTTCAAGATAGCAGCTTCCAGCACAATGCTGTGCCAAATGAGAACGAAAAAAGCGACGAGGGTAATAATTTGCATTCCTCCTGAGGACCTCATTCCGATGCCGAGTCTATTCGAAAGTCTCAACCGGGGATGGAGAGAGCAGCAGGGAATCGACTAACGAGTCGGCCGGCCGGCCAGCGAGCGTTCCAACCAGCTAATAGACAGCTGAATCTGCTGTCTGATGGTCGTGAGCCAGGGTGTGACTTGGATGGTTTGTCAAAAAACCGCTTCCTCGGGAGAACGAGCGCTCGAAAGCTTTTCACATGGCACTGAGAGACTTCGCGAACATTCGCGCGTTTTTGCTTAGCAATGCGTGCAGAATGGAGATACGATCATCAAACTGAACCGAAGGTTCGGAAGGAAGACTTTTTGAGAGAGGGGCTCTGATCGGCGGCGAGGGGGAAAACACCGAAAGGATTTTTGAATATTTATGGAACACGATAAACACGTCGAAGCTATCGGATTCGTTTTCACGCATTTGCAATCTGTGTCAGCCGTGGAATCGACCGCGGTCTTGCGAGGCTGAAACCTAGGTCCGCAGGCGAAGAAGAAAGCGACAGCTCGATAACTTTCTCTCAGCGAAAGTGATTTTTCAAGGAGCTATTGCTCCGGAATCCGACGGGGATGATCCTCTGTTAGGACTCTCATCGATTGCATTCCGCAATCTGAAGGTCCCCATAAGATCTCAGCGCATCGGGCCGGCCCAACTCGCGTGAACGCGTACGCGTCTGCGATCGGAAGCCTCTGCCCTCCATTTCGGCGACCGGCGTTCTGGTGACCCCGTGAACGGCGGAATTACGTAACGAGCGGGCTGAGAAACCGAGCCAGCCGCGGGGACGATCGTAACATCAAAACCGACGACGGGAGCAGCAGCGGCGGCGGCGGCGACGACGATCGCCGTCGTCATCGTCGTTGTTGTTGCTGAAGCTGCCGCTGGTGCTCCGAATCGAAGAGACGATTCGATGCGGACGACTTCGGCATTAGCTATCAGCTCTTCTCCGAGGTGAAACTGCTGTTGAATAACGGGACGTACTGTGGAGGCCAGTTTTCGTCTGCGCAAGAAGCGGGCCAGCGACTCGGCCGGAGGCCTTCAGGGCAACCGCTCGAAGTGGGGCACAGGCTCCTGAGCTCTCGGACACCGATGGGTGCAGGAAAGAATCAGAGCCACATTCCACAGAACCGACGAACCCACAGACGAGGGTCCCCTGACGTGACTCAGCAGGGGTTATCTGGTCAAAGCGAAATCGGTTCAGGCTGTTTAGCGCTGTTCTCGAATCAAGTCGATCGTTCAGCGTCGGTATACAAAGAAGAAAATTGAGTCGGGTGATCTTGACTCTTTCCACCCTCGTCCTGCATTTCAGAATCACCAGTCCCTCGAGGTCCGCGAGCGACGCGTGGTCTTCGCCGATCCTTCTCTTGGAATGGAATTTACTTCCGATGGAGATCGGGCTTTGTTTCTGTGTTCGAAGTCATTGAGTGATCCTCGCCGACAACAGAGAGAACATTGCAGCTTTCCCCCCGAGGAATTCAATGACCTTCGATCAGCAAGCTCCAAGGAAGTTCGTGCTCTGAACGAAAAGCAGACCCTGCGAAGCGAATTTTGAAGACCGAGTCTCGGGGAACTTCTGTCATTTCTTATCCATCCCTTTGAGGGAAATATGTCTCCGGCAGAAAACGCTGTCCTGAAAGTCCCAAGGTCAAGTGACGGATCGGAATCCCTTGAGCGCGAGCGCTCCGATAAGTGCGTACACATATGTAGAATTCTATGAGTTTCCGTGCGGCGGATCGCTAATCCATAATTTGCGACGCTGGTCTCCGTGCTGTTCTGGAGACCTCCCCCAGTCCTCCGATTCCCTTTCTGATGTTCAAAAACATCTCGCAGGAGCTTCCCGTTCCGATGATTGGGAACTCGGTGTTGACAGTCGAAGAAGAGCCCACTCAACCGCTTCTAGGGTAGAATTCGATTTAGAAAGATTGAGCTTCACGGGTGCTGCGAGTGGATTGGGCTAACCGCTAGGCTAACACTGGTCTAAACTTATATTGTCCGCTTTCGATCAGGGTAGTTTTTGAACAGTGACCCCTTCGTCGATAGGTTCGGAACCTTCCCAAAATATGAATTCATCACGGGATTCCGGTTGATGACGGAAGTTCCGCAACATTAGATCTCCGTGCTTGTCCGGGATGATCTCGCTTGGCTTTATTCCGATTCGCGATACACACTCCTTGACCCATCTGTCGGCTCAAGTCGAGTGGAGGATCAGATTTTCGGAAACATGTATGATATGCTTCCGCTCCGCTATTCTAGCAATGGGCTAGAGCACTGCCGGGACAGCAATGCGCGGCTCATATCGCCGAGAATAGCTGAATGAGAAATCAAGGAGCCTCATCGAATCGGTTCGGCCTGAGCGATCTCACAAGGGACGCTCCGACGTTCCGGTAATCGATATAATTGGGCTTTGCAATCTCTCGAGACAAGTCTGGTGACCTTGGAATTGACTTGCTTTCCCGTATGATGTATTGTGTAGAGACTGGGACGGTCCTTGGACTGAAATTAAAGCTCTCACTCAAAGCTGATTTTAATATCTCCCTGTTTTTTCCTCTGGCCTCATTATCTATTGATTGTGGAGGAGTTCTCGACAGATCTCATTTTGGATCTCTTGGATTTCAGTTACAAAATGGTCAACGTAGAGTTGGAAGAGACCTATCGATTAGGCGAGCTGCACGACTATCCGATGTTCATGAAGGTGAGCGTTCACATTGTCCACGCGAATGTAAATTAGGTAATGTGATGATGAGGAATGATAAAATGTCAAGCACGACGCGAGCGATGACCCTCACCGACTCCCAATTCTCAGATCTGCTGCGACACCCTGAATTCGGAATGGAAACGCAGCGAAACAGCGAGAATGCACAGCCTCCAGAAGTCGTCGTCAGCATTCCCGGTCTCTCTGGTCATGTTCGCCGCCAAAAGTAAAGAGTTCTTCGGTCACGCAAGAGTTTGCCGGATCCTCGAACGCACAGACGCCTGTTTCATCGAAAGTGTTATAGTTATGTCTGAGAAACGAGGCAGAGGTCTTGGTAGGCGACTCATGGCGCTCGTGGAGGAATATGCCCGACAACACGGTTTCTTGACGATCTATCTCACGACGAAAGACAAACAAAGTTTTTACGAGCATCTCGGATATACGTATTGCGAACCCATGACTGCCTCGAATAGCTCATGCGTCACATTGGAGACTATCGACAGGATTCAAGGGCTCCCGGCAGCTCCGGCGACCGTCTTCGCCCTTTCCGGGACGGACGGAGCTCTACCACCGCCTCCTTCCCCTCCTCCTCCACCGCCCCCGCAATGGGTGAAAGGCAAGCGAATCGATAGGAACTGGATGATGAAAATTCTCAGATGACCTCCGAGCGGAACATTTCGAGAACCTCATGGGAGAAGATCTTGAGGACTTCATTCTCCGGCACCTAGACTATCGGTGCTAGCGATACCGGTCCAGCTGGACTTCGACCACTTGGAGCTTCCCGAACGGTTCATGAATCAGCAATCACCCAAAAGTCTGATCGATTCTGTTGGAAATGATCTTCAAGATTCTCTCGCGGACGGAGCGAGAGGTGTCGTGCCAAAAATAAACAAATAGTGCAATTTCAGTCGAGTTTCGATATTATTCACGAAAATAAAGTGGCTGAGTGAAGATAATCCTCGTCTTGTTCTATCTTCTCAAAGTCGTGATATTAATTTATTCAACCCTCTCAAAGCACTCCTCACATGCACACGGCGGGAGGTTGGCAGCATTTCGCTATTTAAAAAGTGTATCTAGACGACGGAAACATTCGACATCCACTGAGAGCCTTTTTTGCGACTCCTGGCCAAACAAAAACAGGCAGGCCAATCTCTACTAGGCCATAAAGTTGTGCTTAACCATCGTGTTGCTCGAATGACTTTATTCCCGAGTCCTATATATTTTTATTTCTCCTTGGATAACAATAGGTTACGGAGGAGAGCCAGAGCTGGAGAAGACGCGGACAAGGGAGAATAACAATAATCCTCGTCTCCGCGCTAGATCAGCTGCCCTCAGGGATATGGTATATACAGAGGAATCACTTCGGTAAACTCTGAATGAATTCGCTCGGCTGTACAGTACCGTTTTCAGGAACGAGACGATTGAGGGGCGGTGGATCTCCTCCTCCAAGTCAAAACGGGCTTCCTTCCTTGAGGTCGCTGCACCTTTTCCCTCACGGAGACTATCCTTAGCCTCCTCCATATTTCGGACTACTCTGAGTGTTCCGCGGGATCGTTGTGACGATGAAGGACTTCGATTCGCGGCATGAGAAATCGTTGGACCCCTGATCTCTCAGTGTTCTTGCCAGAGCTCCAATTCATAGTCGAATCCAAAACTAGAGTGCTTCTCCAGGGCCGCTCCAGGAGCTTCTCGTGTAAACGATTGTCTTCTTGCAGCTGATTATCATCAACCGGATCTATTGAGTCGCGAAGTAAGTCCGTTCCTTCGAAATGCCCTTGTAGGCGAGGGCGGGCGAATGGATATTGGCTTTCGCAGGGTACATCGTTCCAGCGATATTAATGTAGAACTCGTTCTTGAGGATGTAATCATTGGTGATCACTCGTTCAACTCCTTCTTCATCAAGGTCTTTGATGAAGCCCAAGCAAACCTACAATTCGCACACGACGTTATGATAGGTCCATCAACTCTGCCCACGGGCCGAGACGGGAAAATCCCGCCGACACGATAGACTGTTGAAATATTCAGAAGTCAATCGGAGGGAGCGTGGCTTACGTGCGTGTTGAGGGTAAAACCGTACGCAGTGGTGGTGACTCTGCCCACCACTCTATCGTTCAGATATATTGCTTCACCGCCCCATGGCCACGGATCGGTCTCAACGTCGAGTTCTCTGAGTAACAGCTGAACAAAACGTTTCTTGATCCCTTCCTCCTTCTGTTTCAGCAAAGCTTCCTTGCCAATGAAGTTCTCCTTCTGTGGAATGAGCGTTCAGGATGAGATGAGCATTTCGCGCTGGCATATCAGATGAGCTTAATTTCGGTCGGACAAGAAAAACCGTCATCAATTTCTCGCATCCTGGTAACGAACCTCGAATTTGACTCGGAACGCGCGCCCGCATTCAAGGGGCGTTGTGGTCGGGTTGAAGTCCTGACCCCAGAAGCCGAAGAATTTTTCTATTCTCAACGTCTTCATGGCCATGTAACCGACGTGTTGTAGCCCATAGTCTTTACCGATGTCCACCAGACGGTCATACACGTGGAGAGCGTACTGTGGAAACAACGGACAAATATGTAGGTTGAATTCTCGAATCATGATTATAGAGCCCCCATGAGATGCCGTCTCCTCTGACAACTCACCTCATTCGGTATGTACATCACCCAACCCATCTCTCCCGTATGCGTCATATGAAGCATCCGGACACCGTTCGCCATCCAAGCATCGACTTCCTTGTAAGTGAAATAGGGGAAGTCTTTGATGCCCATTTTCAGACCGGTGAGCTGTTGCATCAAATCGCGAGAATTCGGACCAATCACACAGATTGCGGTATAAGATGAGGTTATGTCGGTGACCCAGATGGGTTTCTGAAATATGAAAAATATAGATTGCTATAAGATCGCTCGAGCTTTCGGACACCATTATTTGTGGATCGAAGCGGAGACTCACGTGCTTGATATGCCGCCTGAGATAGGTTTGGGCACGCTGTTGTTGCCTCGTGGGACAGATTATCATGAACTTGTTATGAGCTAGTCGTACGAGGGAGCAATCGTTTTCATAGCCGCCCATTTCGTTCTGCATGCCGGTGTTGACTATGTGACCGACAGGGATGTCCACGTCGTTTGAGCAAAGTTCTTGCAGGAGACGAACAACCTCATCATCTGAAATCAATGCGAGAGGAGAAATTGAGCGGCGTCCGATGATCACGAAGAATCAACGATCTCATAAGCCAGACGATGCATCGGGGCCGCCTCGATGAGCGAGAAAAAGAAATTGATTCAAGTACCAGGAGAGCTGATTTCCAATTTCGTGAAGGACGAATAATCGATCAGGGCACAGCGTTCTCTGGTGGCTTCGTATTCGCTCTGCAGAATATCAAAGTATTTGGGTTTGAAGAAAGTTCTCGTGTGAGAAACTCGAGCGTCCTGTCGGGATTTCTCTGGAAAAAAATGGAGCGTACTCATGAGGCTCTCGATCATCTCTTCGATCCGGAAGCGTGGGCTCATCGGAGTTGAAGATTCTGGCGATTCAGAAGCCTACATCCAGATCATCGCAGATAATAATTATTTCACGATCATAGCTCACCCTGATACTCAGGATCATAGAATCCTGGTCTCTCGTAGCCCATGGTTTGTCCGAACATGGCTCCCGCCTCCCGTAATCGTGGATATATCGGTGACATCCTGAGCTGGCGACCTGTTTCGAACTCCAATATGGGATGCGGCATTTTATAATATCTGCAACACTCAGGATTAGATCATCGTCCTTCCGGAAATATACCGAAGGAATATTCAAAATCGATTCAGTATCGGAACGAGAGAGCTCACAGGCCGGGTATTTCTCGCGCTCGCTCTTTCAGGAATTGCTTGTTGTTGTGGAGACCTATGAATCGTTTGACATCGATGTCCCATAGGTCTTGTTCAGGCTCTCCCTCAATCATCCAGCTCGCGGTAACTTTTCCCACACCACCAGCGGCCTCGATTCCGATCGACTTCATACCGGAAGCGATAAAGTAGTTCCTCATCTGTGGGTCAGAAAGTCATCAATTTTTCACGTCGGTCTCATTCTTTTTTTCATTTGTTCCCTAGGGATGACGCATATTCAAAGTCATCCTCCGAAGAGAACTCACCTCTGATGCTTCGCCGACAAGCCACCGGCCATCTGGTGTGAAGCTTTCGGGACTGTTGTATAGTTTCTCAACTTCGACGTTGACGAGATCCGGTATGCGGAATAACATCTCATTGAGCAAAATAGAGAAATTATCCCAATCGGCGGGGAGCAAGCCCCTACCTATCGCGGGCAGATTCTCGAAATCGACGGGCTTCGAGATCGGTTCGAAGCCTCCGGCGACATACTTCCCGTCCTTGACGCTGGAAAACAGAATTCATTGTTCGATGAGAAATTCGTCTTGGACCGACTGGCGAGTTGCAATAACAACCGAAAGCTGAGGAGGACTCAGGAGAAAATCGAATTCTGCAATCAAACGAGAATCGAGAAGCAGACGCTGACCGGATATAGAAATTTCCGTCGTAATCATGGATCACAGGCATATCGTGATTGATTCCGGGTACTGGTTTAGTGTGCAGGAATTGGTGCTCGCAAGGATATAGTGGAACTTGCACCTGAGGCCGGCTGAGCTTCCCAACTAATCGCCCGAAGTATCCGGCTGCGTTGACAAAATATTCGCAGTCGATTTTGCCTGCCAATTGATATAGAGTTACACGAGAGATCCAAAAGTTCTGACTAGAGCCGCGGCTGCATCCCCAGAATTCTCACCAAAATTGCATTCGATCCCGGCTACTTTGTTGTTGCGATCGTCCCTCAATATCCGGTCGATGAAGAGCCCCTCGATGATTTTCACTCCTTTTTTCTCGGCTTCCTCTGCCAAGATATTGCAGAGCGCATGGGTATCGGCGACGCCATCAACAGGGCACCAGAGAGCTCCCTCGAGTCTCTCAGTCGAGATATTCGGGGCCATCTTCTGAACTTCTTGCGGCGAAATTACGCTCACCTCGATATCCATGCTCTGCGCGATCGAGGCCATACGTCTGAAGGCGAATAACCTGCAACCGGCGGCGCGTTGGAGACGTTCGTCACGTCAGCAGTCCGAGCTGAGAACAAAATCGATCACAGAGTGTTTCGCCTTTTCTCGGGCCGCCTGGTCTAACCTTTCCCTGGTCCTCGCGAGATGCAGGGATCCGCACTTTTTCCAGCCAGTCTGATGTCCTCTGGCCTGGAGGTCTTTGTACAGGTCGATTGAATACTTGCTCATCCGACTTTCGATTGTTCGGTTCTTAATGTGACTCAGAAGACTGGCTCCGAAGCGGGTCGAACCCCCGCCGATCCTGCAAATCGAGGCCTGCTGGTGAGCAGAGCTCCCTCCGTTAGCCGCTACCCGGCTGATCGCGTCCGACGCCGAACTCACTTTCCGCGGTCGACCAGCAGAACGTCTGTGATCCCATGATCGTGTGCAAGATGATACGCGACGGAACACCCAACGACGCCGCCACCGCATATGATAACTTGTGCGGACGATGGAACCTGCGCATCCCGAACGAGATGCTGATCATCACCAACTGCGGAAGGGAGTCTTCTTGTGAATTCGCGACCGAGTTCGTAACCCAATCAGAGAGTTTCCATGGGGGAGATTTTGGCGGGTCGGGAGATAAATTGTAGGGAAACGGCGAAGTTTCGGATCAGACCAGAGTGCCTCACGGAAACACAATTCTGAATCTCTCGCGAATTCGGCCATGTACCTAAATATGATTTTGAGAGAAGAGGATGACGTTGCCCTGGGGAGACATTCATCGCAGCTATCTTGCGAAAATTGCGTCCAGACGGGTCTGCTCTTCAGGCCACCTGCACACGGACTTGGAGACAAATCCTCGAGAGTATTATTCCGGTTGAAATGATTCGAACAGCTTACTTCCCCGGTTCTGTACGTGCTTAGCCACTAGCGGAAGCTGGCGTTACTTTGAAGAAAATTGCAGGATCGGACTCGGAAGCTCCTCGTCCCGAAAATCATATTACTCTGAGACGATTCCAGAGAAAATTGAGTATCTCTCAAGCCAAACTGGCCGACTCCGATGATCATTCCGAGCCGTATCTTGGCCGGCAGGCCACCTATAGTGCTCCACGGTAAGTCGGTCGGGGCCTCCCAGACCGCGCTTCGTCGCTCGCAGATGAAATACCTCCGCAAGCGAGCTTCTATCGTACAAATAGACTCGTGATCGTACTCACAGTACCGGACAGCTTTTTCGCTGGTCTCTTGACACCCTCATCGCTAGACTGTGGTGTGGTCGAGTGGGTCTCGCGCGTAAGGGTCTAGCGGCAGAGCAATTAGAAACTCGATATATCCGCTTCGCCCTGCGTTTTCGAAACTTTATTCTCCCGACGAGTGTGACCTGGGAATTGATCCGGCTCGGCAGCTGATTCTCATACCACCATAGACCATCGTCTACCACGGATAGAAGTTCCGGTTTATGATCAAGGGCATGATTCCACAAGTACCGAAGGAGATTCGGGGGAAACTTGACAACTCGAGACTTGCGATGAGCTGCTGACCTCAGTGACGTTCCACATGTAAAGGGTCAAATTCGTTCGATCCGAGTCCGCTAAGAGGGATGCGAGACAAATGTCCCTTGCGAAAATCCGATTGGGAGACTCGTTTACCGTTCCCGCTAGGACAACCGAATACCAGTGGCAGACCTACGCGTCAGCCGAATACCTATTCTTTCCGGGGCATTTGCCTTGTATCCACGTCTAATTTCGGTTGGTGTCCTTTTCTATGCGTGGATTCCGCGAGAAACTTACAGTTCAGCGCGCTCGCATGCGGTTCCCACGTAGACTCGGAGGCTAAACTCCTACGAGATATTCGAGCCGGCGAGAGGGCTCTTCGGAGACTCAGAAGGGACATCTGGTAACCTTGAATTGGAAAATGGCACCAAAAATTCAGAGGTCGGACCAGTCTCCCTCCTCGGTGGTGTGTTTCGGTAAATCAGCTGTTCCGGAATAGAAGCGCCACACGATCATCGTACGACTGCAAGAGAGAGCCGCGCGAAACTGCGGGGATGAATTCGCTCACTCGGAGGCCTTTAAGTCGACCGATGCGATGCAGGACTCGGTCGGGCGATGGAAGATGACAGTCGAGATACGCGGATGACTCTGGATCGAGCGATCCCTGGAAATTCGCTTCTCGGCGTCGACTTCGGAGATTTTATGGGACCCGGTGGTGTTATTGATGAGGTTTTGTTGCGAGAATAGACGCGATCCTCGAGCTGGCACCCTCGCTCGTGACAGCAGCTGTCATATTGGGACTTGGAGTCGGAAACGTTCCACTCTTCACCGATCAAAAATTTTAAGACCGAGACACAGGCCAGATTCTTCGCTACATGGGGATCCCGAGTCTTGCGAGGGGGGTTCCGAAATTCTATGGACGATGGAATTCAATCGCCTGGAGGAAACCCACCTAATTGAGAAGAATTCGGGGGAATGACATGACAGTTTGCGAGCTCCCTCGAACGTCGGTCCCCGTACCCCGTACCTACCTCTCGACTCTGTCAGTCCACTCCGACGACCAATGACCATCTCAACAAATCTTACGAAATTCCATGTCGGCGGACCGCGAATGTTCCGTGAACATCGATCGCTCCCTATCGTGACTCCTAGATCAGGGGGGCAACGCCTATCTCTGAGGACTTGCTATCGGGCGATACTCATGATTAAAACTAGGAATCATTCATGGCGTTCTTCTCGAAAATTCACGGCAATTCTAACCCCGATTGACTTCCTATGAAGAAATCGCTTGAAAATACCGTGAAAATTCACGGCTTTTGGCGCGATCGCGCCAACTTCCCAGCCCTACTCATGATCCATGGACGACTACAATAGACCGAGGAATAGACTGGAACGATCCCAGGATCGAAATGTCAAATTTCGGTTCCCTCTCATTATCCCTCGCCCATAACTCCTCGCTGGGATCGGATCATGGGATCGCTTCTGGCCCCGCGTAGTGGAGACCATTGGAAAGACGACTTGGAAATCAATTCACGTATTTTCAATTTCTGAGTATTTTGGCGCATCTGTCCGATCCAGATTGAATACCGAGATGGAACCGAAAGTAATCGGATGGATTCCTTTAGAGGCGGAAATCGATCGTCGTGAATCCATCGAATCAGAAGGCGATTTACATCTGGACTCTATGCTGAAATGATGGCTAAGGCTATGAAGATTCAACTCCTTGTTGTGAGGAAGATACATCGAGATGAAGTGAAGGACTGCGTGGAAAGCGTTTAGATCGTCGGAGATGAGAAGTGCTACAGTTTTCCCGAAGACCTACAACCATTGGACTTACACACGGAAATGATGGGACAGAAATCCATCCAGCATGCTGTGAAAAGTATGACCAAGAAAGGTCACTACCGCACAGTGAACACCGGCACAACGGCAAAAATCCTAGAAACTTACTGGGATGAGGATGAAAACTCCATTTTCAAAGACCATATCTTAGAGGAGACGACATCTTCGTCATCCACTCCCTCGAAAATCGAGAAAAATTCTTCATTAGGCGAATTCGATAAGGACTCCAAGAGAGCCGAGGATTGGCTGAAGGATTTCGAGGAGGAATGTATTCGGTTCGAGATCACATCTCAAAAGCGTGAAGTTCGGGCTCTGCGGTATTTCGTGCAGAATGTCTCAGACGATTGGTATAGAGTTTGCACGACGCAATACGGAGAAGACGATTTTGAGGCTTGGAAGGCCTCATTTCTCAGAGTTTTCGGTGAGCGAGGCTGGTCACGCATCACATATGCTCTGGGCTTCAAATATGCAAGAGTGTCCTATACGGAGTACGCGGAGAAAAATTGCGACTTCTGCTGGAAGTTGAGCGGAATATGACTACCGAGTCCAGAATTCATCAGATCGTCTTCGGATTACCCCCGAATATCCAGGGATGCTTGGATCGAGACGACGTCAAAGACGTGGAGTCGCTTTTGAAGGAGCTTTCGAAATTCGATCCCTCGCCTTCGGAGACGGCCAGCAGGCTCGTCTTCGCATGAATTTTCGAAAGTGATTAAAGTAAATGCATAGATATTCCTGAATCGCTACCCTTCCCCAGAATGGAGGGTCTGATCGGCGGTATGCGTCATTGCGAATATCTCGCGGACCTAGACTTTGCGTCCTGGACGATCGCACTAACAAGACGAAGAGATGGGAGTACATCCGCCTCTGTTTGTAGAATGGGCATTATAAAATGAAGACGCCTCTCGTCAGGCTCGTGAAATTTCTCTGGATGAGTTTACCGAGGTCGTCTCGGTGGTATCGAGGTGTTCCCGCGTACATTGAGAGAGCTCTTCTAGGACATGGGAGTGTTGCTCAGGGCGTCGGAGAACGGAGGATCTAGAGTCGAGTCAGGGAAACACCGCGTCCTCACGCCATTGCAGCTGAGAATGCTAGCTCACTACAATACCGCTTCAGGAAATACTTGAAGTCCTCCAGAGCTGTATGGAATGGAGGTAATCGATGGTACCCGGAAAATATTCTATATGTGCTCGGCAAGAATGAATTATTATCAATTCAGGCACTCCAGATTCCTGCTCCAGACAGCTAGCCTTTAGTTTCGACAATCCCGGCCGCGACATGCTTCCCGAAGGCGACCGACGAGAAGGTCTCCTTGCGTTCACGCAGGGTCGCTGCTCTCGTTCAAACTCGGCGCATTGTCGAAATTGTGTCAAACCTAGGCTTCCCGACCGAAAAACCGAAGATTCTATGTCAGAGCGTCACTGCCTTTGGGCCGCGACATCCGGTCCCGACTCATACCCGTGGAGCGGTCGACGGTTTTGTTGGCTACCGGCTGTCATGGCAACTTCAGCGCTCGGCAGAAAACAGTCTAAGATCGCTTTGTGTCTGTGCGACGAGTCGCGGCGTGCTTTCGGACTGGAAAATTATAGTCCTAGTATTCTAGTTCGAACATAAAAACACCTTCACATTGTACTTGCTCAAGGTAAGCCGCTGAGAGTTTCTGAATAATAAAGCGATCGCAATGTTCTCGCAATGTGGGAGATCATTGCGGACGTTCGGGATCTCCCGATTTGAAAACTGACAGATTCAAACTTCCGCATCTTTTTTTTGGAACGGAGGCTCGTTACCGTGAGATCCAGGCGTGAACAATTTCCCGACTCGAGAGCAACTTTGCGCGACTCGGGCCTCCGAGCGTGCGGCTCGAAACCGTGCTTTATGACTGCGCACTCGAACATCGAACCCAGATCGGATCTACGCTCCTTTCCATCGTTTCGCAAACGAACCCTCATCTGTTTGATGAATCGATGAGACTCCGACCTCAGAATCATGCGAGACAAGCATTGGAAACTGTGTAAACAGATCTGATTTACTGCATACTGATTTCAGCACAACACGTCTTGACTGAAAGAAATCTTGTGCTTCGGTGCGCGCGCATTTTTGGCGACGAATTCCTCCTTTCTCAAAACGGACAGCGACGACGGGCCTCACGGGGATGCGGTTCGCACACGGTTGATGCCTTTTGAACGCCGAACCAGTGCAACTCTCCTGCTACCTGTGATCCGTGAATGAATGCAGCTGATCGAACGTTGTGACACATTCGGTGAGTTCTCGAGCCATTGATGCCTGAACCTCGAAAGACTTCGGTCGGAGTCGCTTCGTACCAGGCCAGTAATTCATGGGCTGCTCTGGATCCCGAATAGCGGCTGATTCATGAGCGAAGTATTCATCATCTGACAGAAATCCAACGCAAAAGTTTTTCGTTGATCGTAGTGAGCCTTCGTTTACAGGCTTGATTCTGAGAACCCGATAGTATTCTCGGAATCAGTTCCCGAGCTCACGGCTCTGGAAGGAGTACGGAGGGACGAAAAACATGATTCTGACGTTTCTGTTGACGTTAGTCCCGCTCGCCTCAGGTAAGACTTCCGAGTTCTGGAGATATCCATGCCGCCAAATTCTCAAAATTGAAATTGACTCCCGTCCTCGTCACATCGTTGCCTTGTCTTGAATATTGAGCCGGAATGTCTCTCTTCGATCATCATTTGAAATCCTCCGGATTCTCCACGAAAATCTCGCTAAGAGTCTTACGAATAGTCTCTGAAGTAGTGCACTCTGCGTCGAAATTTAGGGCCCTCAGGGCATTCCTATTAGAACTCTCAACTTTCGTGATAGGTATTGGATGTCTCAGATAAGCGATATTCTCGCTGAATACCGAGCGAGGAGCAGCTGCGGATCTCTTCGCTCAATGAGAAGTGCGAAGAACGCCCTCCATTAAATATCTTTCGATTTACGTCTTGACGTGAGGCGGATTGTTCAACGTGCTATTTCCTGACTTGCCCCTGAACGCCCACAGCACCGTAAATGTCATCCCGAGAAATAACGACGAGCGAATTGAATTATGTTGCAGCGGAAATTTGGTGCTATTCTTGTGTCAGCACCCAGCCCGGCTGTCGCGAAGGAGTCAACTGGTACTATCATCATGCAATAACTTGTCCGAGAGAGGATGACAAATGTGTCAAAATCGTCGAAAGAAAAGGAGGTGCGTGCTACTTATTCTCGTTTCGAGAGACCGGCGGTAGACCTCGGACGAGATTGTCCTAATGTTTTCCTCAAACGAGCTCAGGTCACTGATCTCACTAGACCGAAGCTCATCGAATTTCTAGGTCACACGTCAGGCACGTAATGTGCTCGATCGCAAGCAAAATGAGTTCCCAATGCTCCTTCGGCGAATCTGAGCGTAAAAATAGAATATTCCGAAAGGTCACAGAAAGAATTTCCGGTCGAGACTAGAGGCTGCCATCCTATTCCGATGAAAGTTTCCCGCACAAACGTATCCGGTCGAAATTGCCAGGGAATACGAGAATATATCCTTGGATCTTTCCGGCGTCTGAACTCGGATGGTAGCATGCCGGGAATCCCCCGAGGGCTCAGCTTTTCCGAGCGATCCCACACCAAATTAACGCCCCGCTATGCCGTTCCTGAGTCAACTTGTAAAGACGATGTTCCTCCGGAGCTATTCTCGACGAAATTCTTCTGATTGTCGTCGCGCAAGGCGAATCGACTCATAACGGAAGACACTCCGATGTTCTCTGAGACTTGTGTTTTATTCTAAGCAGAGGGAATCTTTTGTGCTCGTATTGAATGCTATGCATATTTTTTGTTTGCGGCATTGCCTTCTCCGATGCGCATCGCATTTAGTAACGATAATGGAGCTCGGTTCCCCGTCAATCATAAGTCTGAGAGAATTCTTCATGCTTGGACGAAATGCCGAGACTGAAGCATCTCTTTTCGCAGATGAGGTCCTTTATACCCGCGATTGTCTCTCTAATTTGGAGGCGTTCCGTCACGACATCCCGGCTGATACATACGAAGGATGCCGACCAGCCGCCGAAGCCCCTAAGCTAGCGGTCTACGTCGAGAACAACATCAAGGAATGGGAATTAAGGAGGTGAGCCCGTTGTCTTTTTTTTCGTTACCGATTCCAGTGGTGTCAGACCTCCGCGGAACGCAGCGGGGGAAGTAATCTCACTTGTTCGCATCGGTGAGAAAGCAGCAAGCGGGAGTAACACACAGCGAAACGCCTTTACGGCGTAGGCTTCTGAGAGCTATAAAAAAGGCAGGGGCATGTGACGTGCGGTGCCTAGGTGTCCTATCTAGTCTATGCGACTCGAATATACGTACCCGTACACCCCTCCCCAAGGTCGAATAGCTTACGAGAATCATTGCGACGATCCGTCGCTTCTTGTCTCGTTCTTGCGATGCCTCTGATCCGATATCCCAACGAGACTCGATGCTAATCGGGATGTGGGGGCAGGGGACCCAGAGAAGCTTCTGGACGGATAAATCGATCCATCCGCGAACTCACATCGCCTCTCCACGGATTCTCTGATTTCACGGTCTATGGCCAAGCCGGAATCACATCGAAAGATGTGAGGAGCTGGTCCACGAATTCTTGACCCGAATCCGACCTAGACACCCGACCCAGAGCGTTCCCTTGTAACTCTTGACTTGCAAGAGCTGATCGATGAATTATTCAGGGTGATGCTATCGAAGCAGGGCTCAAGGATCCCTCTCTCTTTTTTCCAGAGACTATTACGATAGAGTGGACTACTGCTTTTGTGAGTTCTGGCATTGGTGCAATTCGGCCTCCTCAGCGCGGTTCAACGCAGCACTCGCAATGATGCTGATCTTGTGTACATTGTGGAGTACAAAATCATGAAGGATGTCGTCGGACTGCTAAGGGACGTCACAACAGCGGTAGCTATGTAAAGTGTCAATTGACAGAATATTTACTGTTCATCGGAAAACTGCCCATGGAAGAAGAACTGTTTCGCATTCTTTTCAATAAAGATGATTTTATTATACATAGGGAGCGAACTAGTTTCTGAGGAGGATCTTCGATCGTCCCTGGTGAGGTTTTTCGCGAGAGAGAGAAGAGGTATACAGAGATGGCAAGCAGAACAAAAGCAGAGGAGGCGGGATAGGGTAGCTATACAATGCGGACTTCCCTCAAGTCAGACCTGAGGCCAGAATGAACACTCGCCCGCTCAGCCCAACGCTAGGAAGTGGGCCAGAGACAGTAACTCCAAGGAGGGGCAGAAAGACAGCGATCACGGTCCGCGGTCTATACCCACCCAACCTTCTTACGCTCTGGAGTTTTAGTTCTCTTTCTCACCGGGTTTGTACTCGCGGCGACGAGACAACTCATTCATATATTCATCACCCATGCGGGGCGACACGCACACGAATCCGGATCGGAAGGAAGCATGAGGGCTTTCCCGGCTGCCCGATAGAAGTGTCAGGCTAGGACGGACATGCTTGAGGAAGCCGCGCACTATACTAGTTCGATGGAATGGTTCCTGGAAACGAAGGACAAGCCCTAAAATACTTCCGCGGGAAAAAGGAAGCCGTTCCTGGCAGGGGTCTGCGACGAGATGCCCCTGTGATCAGAAGGTCGCTGTGATTCAGTATTCGGAAACCCCTGCGGTGGACAATTTGTGATGAGTCGTTACTCGCGGATGGTTTCGCGAAACAGACCACAGATTCGACGCTGCTCATCGTGCGAAGTTCCTTCGGGTTATGTAGTTGTCCCTTAGGCCCTTTGTTTTGGACAAAATTCGAGGTCTGAGAATCAGCCTGCAAGTAGCTTGAGGGGTAGAGAAATGAGGTTCGACCCCAATGGAGAGACGTCTCGCCAGGCGAATCCGAATAACTGGACTTCCAGTGCTTTCGCGGAAGTTCGAGTCCCATACCGATGCGTACTTTTGTCGGTCGGGCAAACCCGGCCGAGTCCCCCATCGAGTCAGAGTCAGATGACGATGTCTAAATTCCGCGGAAAATACTAAGGACTGGAGTTTCTGCGTGGTAAAAGGCCGCGCTTCGCAATCCAACTCCCACCTAGCACCAGCTAGGAGCTGGACTTCCCCGGAGCTTCACGAGGTCTAGGTATTTTCGTTCCGCCAAGGACCGCTCGGGGCTCGCCGCAGATTTCCATGGACCAACTTGGAGACGGTTCTCCTCAATCGACTTCCATGTAAAAGGATGAGAGCCTTCAGCGGGCCGTCATGCGATCTCTCTTGATGGAAAAGCCTCAAGGACGAATCAATTAGTGCAAAAATGGCCCGAGTATGAAGTCCAGAATGATTTCCCCTCACTCAGTTTGCCTCGGTTCATTCCTCCCCCCCCCCCTCGAACCGTTGTCTGCCCTGGTGCTCTTTTTCACGAACAACCTGCGAAACGGGAAACGAGGGTGGTCCGAGATAATTTCCAAAACATGGGCTCTGACCGTCCCTCAGGTCAGGATCTAGTCGCCGATCCTGTCAGGATCTAGATCGATAATCTCAGGTCAGACGTCAGAATCGCCGAAAAATCTTCGGTTTTCCAGGTCGGAATTCGCGTGATATCCGCGCCTAGTTTGATGAGGAGACAAGGCATGTGGGACTCGAGGATGAATTTCGCAAGTTTTGGGGGAGAGCATCGGGAACCGAGGCTTGCGGAGCGCTGAGGTCGACCGTACGTACGACACGAGGGTACAGGCGGGATGGGATCGTCATGGAACAGGGATCCATTGATCAACAGTCAACTTCGGGGAATCTCCGCTAGCATTATGACGTGCATCGCTTGCAACAGACAAGGCCACAATGGGACCGCTGGAAGAGACGGAATCCGCCTGCTGCGTGTACAGACAGATACACACTCGCATGTCTTGTGGTCACTGAATCCTGCTCTTTCAGTGACCTGCTTCTTCAACTGATCCAGTACTTGGTCGAAGCATGACTGCAGTAATAGCTAGATTACTACGAACGAATCGAGACAGAATTCTTCTGAAACGTTTGGAACTTCTGCTCAATATACTTTTGAGAGTCGATCAGTCATTGAAGACCGAATGCCGTTCGCTGCACTCTCTCATATTCCCAGGCATCTGCGTCTTTCCCTGCCGATGGTAGTCCCGCTCGGAGTTCTCTTGCCTCTTCCTCCAGTGGCGTCCAGACCTGGCCTCACTGAGGAATGGCAAGGAACCTGCCGATTCAGGTGAACCGATTCCGAAGAGAGCCTCATTAGGCGCAAGCTATTGGAGGAGATATATCTACGACAACATAGTTGGGCATCCTTCGGATGAGAATCGAAAATTTATTCTCTCGCTTATTGAGAGTTCGCTTATAGGGTTCAAAGAAGAATAACAAATATAATTTGAGTTATACTACAAACGAGTATACTCTGAGTTTGGCTCGAAGCTGATGCGGACGTGCCTTGCTTGTATTCTGTAGGAATCCTAGAAGTCTTTGTGAACTGCTCAGTAGTCGCCAGGGGGGAGACAAACGTGCGATGTCGTTCATCCGTCAGCGCATCGCGATAGAGGTTCAGCGCGGTAACGCGAGGATGATCTCGGGCGGACTGCTCCAAAGGGTTGCCCTCAAAGAGCTCACCCTCCAGAGTTGCTGATTACTTGTTAGAGCATTCCCTGTTTTCTTGTTAAATTCCCTACAATAAAAAGAAGACTGCTCATTCTTCATCAGGTTATGGGTTCTGCACGTTTCTGACTGAGCATTGATGATCCGAGAATCGTGATTCATGATGACTGACAAGGATTTCAAGGCGCAGATCGAAAAGCTGAAGGCGTCGATGACTGGCCGTACTGGAAGTGGCAGATAGGCCTGCTGCTCCGCTCTCATGGCCTGGAATGGGTCACGGAAGGCCACAGGAGCCAGAGCGGCAAACAGGAGAAAGCTTCGACTTCAATATGGGGGTATATGGGGCAAGTTTCTCAATATGACCCGAGAACATCCTGGAAGAGATCTTTCGCATGCATGATTATTCCACGAGCTGCAAAAGCATACGAAGAGCCTCGAGTAACGATGTTCGTCGATCACTTCATCATTTCACTTCGGGTTAATCCTCGATGATCACGACTCATGAAAGGAACAGGGGAGGGCAGGGGCTGTCTATGTATCTTGGAAGGAAGCTTGGTACCCAGTACCCAGCAACCCAATGTCATCATCGAAGATAAAAAGGCGATGGATCGGCTATTATCTTTATTTGTGGGTCTCCCTATGCTTTTCCAGCACGCGTGATCAACATGCACGAGGAAAATCTCTTCTAGGATGTCATCGGCTCGAATTGAGAAACTTGTCCCGTTAAATACCATATTGAAATTGAAATCTCCTGTTTGCCGCCCCGGCTCCTGTGGCAGTCAGCACGGGAGACTCCGTTTTTCTTCCTAATTGTTGACGAGGAATCCGATGGACTCAGTTTGGATCAGCTTTGCGATTCACCAAAAGTGAAGGTTCACTTGTCAGTGCTCGCGCCGCAAAAAGACATCCCCTACCGTCCTCGAGGGCCGATATCGTCCCAGAAGACTCTAAACCGAAACCCATGATGGACGGCGTTTCCTGGTTATCGACGATGAAACTACAGATCGAATTCTCGGTTTCTCGACCAATGAGATGGTGGCGACACTTTGTGAGGCTCCCATCTCCCATCGTTCATATGGATGGAATATTTTGGGTGGTCCCAAGGCTTTTCTCACAACTTTACACGATTCATGCCTTCTTCAAAGGTCCAATGATGCCGTTCATATACTTTCTCCTCTCAGATAAACGTAGAACGACATACATCGCATGTTCAATCTTCTGAAATCTTTGGCAGCTTCCATCGGCTCGTCATTCAGCCCGGGCACTTTCCAGTTGGACTTCGAAGTTTCGACTTCGAGAGCAATACAGGAAGTTTCACCAACCGCGGTACTTAGAGGGTGTAATTTCCACTTCGGGCGATGCGTGCGGAGGTAGATACAGGAAATCGGTCTTCAAGCATTTTATTCAGAGCCTGGAGTGAAACGCACAGCGCGGTCGATAAGAGCGCTAGCTTTCGTCACATCGGAGTTTATCGATGAAGCTTGGCTCCGTATCAATGAAGACTCACCGAGCTTAGACCATCCTGCCTGCCCACTTCTCGAGAATTTCAAGTTATATTTCATTCAGACATGGCTAGAGGATGGTGGAACGTCCCGCGTTCTCTCTGGAATCACTTCGACGACTTCCGAGCTCGAACAACTAATCACGTGGAAGGATGGCATAACGCTCTCAATAAAACCATCGAAAGAGCTCACGGAAACATTTATGACGTTGTCGTGCACCTCAAGGAACAGCAGCGAAAATTCGAAACGGATATGTTTCTCTTGAGGATGGGACGAAGTCCCCCCGCCTCACGGAAGGCATACAGGAATAAGAATCAAGCCTCCGTGAAGCTCGTTGAAGAGTTTGAAGAGCAGCGCATCTCGCTGATGCAATACATTGAGCGCGCTGCGTGTCATCTTCCTCTGTGAACGCTCGATTGTAAATTGTGACGTGCGGGTAAGCGCGATGGTGGAATTTGGAAACTGTCTGGTCCATTCGATGCTTGTCAGCTCCCGATCTAGGGTATTCGTTTCGCTTCGGTGGGGAGCCTACCGACAACGATTCCATCTCTGGTCATGGGGGAGAGACGAAAACCTCGTTCGAGTAATGGTGAAAATCAATGATGTGGAGAATCGCCCGAGTAAAACCTGTGATTATACTTTCTTTCACTGTTCTCCTGCTCCCGTTAGGCATATGCTCATCACCAGTATTAGCGAATTCTTGCGATCGGGATTTTCCGCCGTACCGAGGCGAATCTCGATACGGAGGACTGTCTTTCGGGCGTCATGCTTTCGGCCATTGAATGATCGAGTTTCCAGAGTTTCGGTATGGGCCCGTTCGGGTTCGGGAAGAAAGATGTTATGAGTCGGTTCCGTCGTCTGTTTTTCTTGAGGGAGAAGTTCCCGATTGAACTGTGGTCCGGACAAAAAGGGCACGGC